CATTGCATTATATGTGAGTGATTATAATGTGCCGAAGCCTACGCAGCCGTGAACGACCATGTGCGCGTGCACGAATGGGCAACCCGTCATGCTGACCTGGTATGTCGGTGCAACAACCGGTACATCTATGCCAGCTGTCAGCCTAGATTTGTCATACCTCATCACAAGTTCCTTGAATAAGCTCAAACTGCATGATGTGGACACTTTGAACTGAATCATTTTTATAATATAATAATTTCTATTATTTGTAATCTTCCTGAAAAAGTAGAGAAACATGGTCTTTATCGTAATTCGTTTTACGTTAGATCCACACAATACGTAAATTTTAATTAAGAAACTAGAATATAATTCGACATCGAAGTTTCCGTTATATTCGTTTGTTGTGATATTTACAATGATCGGGAAAAGGCAAATTTTAATTCTATACCAAGAACTTATACACATCTAATAGTGTATTCCTAATACATTGAAAAGGAAAAGTTATGCGCGCGCGCAGTGAGAGTGTCGCGCGCGATTACTCACATTTAATAAAGCGTTCATATTTCACGTAATATAATATTTTAAATTATATTGTCAGTGAAAATAGTTTAAAAATTACACAGCATACACAATACATAAGTAATTTACTGAAAACAACAGAGATAAAATACAATTTATTTTTCATTATCGCTATGTATTTATTTCTCTCGTGTAATAATCCGTTCAAAATAAATTATTTCTTATTATTTGCTGTTTTTCAAAAATTAGTTATGTCTGATATTTCTGGCTTTTGCGATGTTTCATCGCGGTGAATAAACTGTATCACTATTAGGTTTGACTTTCGGATTAGAGCCATGTTCTTTTTGGTTTAGAATCGTACGTTTCGTGAACATTTCAGTTCATTTCATTAGGGTGACAAACAATTTAATAAATTGAAATATTCACAGAATGTCGGATTCTAAATCAAGTACAACATGGCTCCAATTCGAAGCCAAATCTAGTAGTTAGTTATATGTTTACTTCGACAATTATTTTCGTTACTTTTTAATAACATTGTTCAAAAAAGTTATGAAATGCTTTTATCTCGCCAACAAATGTCACATTTTTAATTGTTTTAATGTGTGCAAAAAAAATTTAAGCGATTTAAAAACAGCATTTTAAAGAACAAAGCTTATTTTTTGAAGCGCTTTTTCAAATGGTTAGAATTTTTCTTTTCCATGAAATTGTGTACCTTATGAAATAAGGGATTCTCTTTCCGAAAAATTATTTTTAACGCATTTTTACTTGAAAAATTTCTTTCGCGATACGCGCAACTATAGGGAAAGTTGAAGTTTTTGATTACTCGATTAATCAAGTAATCTGAATAATAATTTTTTGATTACTCGATTAATCAAGTAATCGGAATAAGAATTTTTTGATTACTCGACCAATCAAGTAATCAGAATAAAAATTTTTGGTTACTGGATTAATCAATAAACAGTGTAAAATATTCATCAACATTAAAACGAAACGATTAAATAAGATTAAATTAATAAAAATTAAAAGAGGAGCTTTTATTAGACATAAAAATAACATTAAGTTAACCATTCATTATTACAAGTGGTCTTCCGCACTACCTATGAGGTGCCACTAATAGTGCGTTAAGTTTTTAACGTGGACCTTCGCCTGTAGCCCTATTACACTACATTTTTTTATATATGTCCAGTACATATATATAAATATAATTTATGTATTTTCTACATCTATTTTTCATGCAATGTTTTTATTTTACACTTTATATTGATACTGTAAACATCGGCCGTGACTCCTGTCGACCCTTAAGGACGTTCTCTCGTCCTTATACTAGAGAAAATCGATTTTCTTAGGATTTCCTTGAAACTGTGAATATATGTTAATTTAGGTGTGCTTTATGCGTGGTATAAATTTCAGTACCTCTTCCGGGATAAAAAATCAAGATACTGAGTCTCAAAGTTTCAACTTTTACTAATAAAAAGGTTTTCCAGGCCAAACGGTAAGAGATACGATGAGGTTGGCCAAGAGGACCAAAGTTGCTTCTCTCGTCGAGTTCTATAAGGAAAAAATGCCAAAACTAAAAAAAATTAAATTTATAATTTTTTTTTAAACTTTGAGGCTTAGTATCTTCATTTTTTATCCCGGAAGAGGTACTGAAATTTATACCACGCATAAAGCACACCTAAATTAACGTATATTCACAGTTTCAAAAAAATCCTAAGAAAATCGATTTTCTCTAGTATAAGGACAAGAGAACGTCCTTAAGGGTCGGCAGGAGACCCAGGCAAACTCAAGGTACACTCAGGTGCACTTTATGCACTAAGTGCACGTTAAACTGCACTTTACTCCGTATTTTATTTATTATAAATTTTTAAGAGCAAAAATGCAAAATCGGGCTCTGTAGCTAACTGCATTATTATATAAAGAGTATATAAAAAAAAAATTCACGAATTTATGTAACTTATTTTATGAGAAATCGTGTTATTACGAATTACGGATTCGTAATAATAACCAGATTTCTCATAAAATAATAAGTTACATAGATTCGTGAATTTTTTTTATATATACTCTTTACATAATAATGCAGTCAGCTACAGAGCCCAATTTTGCATTTTTGCTCTTAAAAATTTATAATAAATAAAATACGGACTCGCAGCGAGTCGCAGCTAAGCCAACGTACCCGACAGAGGTCTCCTGTCGACCCTTAAACCGCCCGGGATATTTCGACGCAACTAAAATCTGTCGTTAACGCAACGTTTGTTTCGCATTCCTACAAATTTATCGTCTGTATTTAACTGCAGCAATAATTACAGTATGGCAACCCTATTGATTTACGATTATATATAATAATGCAAAAGTCGACCGATCGTATATATGATCTACTATAAAACATATACGATAATGGCGACAAATTTAAAAATGAGTGCGCATTGCTCGTGATTTATTGTCAGCCGATTAAGCGCGATGCGAAAGTCGGAAGGCGCCGTTTTCATTAACCCGATAATAAAAGCACGCATTCCGTACGAACAGAGCACAGTGCGCAGCAGCTGCGTTAAAGTCCACCGCGGAAACTAGCCGAAAGAAAGTTTCACCGTTGAGAAAGAAACCGAGTGGCTTACTGCTTCGTCGTGAGCCGCGTATGCTGTGGAAGTTCAATATTTTATTACCCCTTGGAAAAATGTTCGACTCTTCGTCGGATCCATATCGCTGAAACGGAAATTCGATATCGTATAACAAATAGAAGCGGATGATATCAAATGTTTTGTATTTATCGTGGCAATGTCAATAAAGTGTAATATATTATAATAATCAACTCTCAGATATTTGGAATATTTGGCTTTGCAATTAATTTATTATAACAATAATGAATAAACTGAATTATATAGAGATATCGCACTATATAATCACATTATACAAATAGCATTGTTTTTATTATGATAATTTTATTATTCTATTACGATAATAATATGACGTAACGGAGCACGTTGAGAGAGTGCGCAATATGGTTAGAAAAACTTTAAAGGATACTGGATACGGCGTGCGGCGGACGACGGGTTCCGGACGGCAGTAGTAAACAATCGATCGAACCCGGCAAGCGAGCGATCGCGAGATATACCTATATGGACAAACCTCGTATAAACCATGGAAAAGAGGACGGCGCGGATATCGAGCTCATATAAAGTTTTATTTCCAGGAATTCAATAATCGCTTACATCGCAATAATTCGCGAGCCATTCGATTTTGTCTTTTCATCGTTTTTCACCGTCATTCATGGAGAATCCCGCGAATCGTGGAATCACGTCGAGCTCTCGCGATCATAAATGAGAACGTAATACCAGAAACGAATAACGATAATGCGCTTGTCAGCCAATCCCGAGA